TTAGGGATGGCTAGTGCAGATAGCCCTCGTGTAGCTTTGCACGAAATTCAAAACAAACAAACAAACAAAACCTTTCCTAAATGAGATCTCCTGGGAACCAATCTGCTGGAGATGGTTGGATGGGGGTTACCCATTCGATTAGTTTAATATATAAATGGATGTGCTCCATAGTGTAGAATGGCTAGGGCATGTCAGGCTGTATTCGGTGGGTCAACTCTCCCAATCTAGGCAGAATCGGGTTTTTATCATACTGTCTGTGGTAGGTAGGTCCCTACTGTCTTCACCTCAAGACAAGGAAATAGAAGGGAAAAGTGTTTTAATTTGTCTTCCTAATCAGGGCACATGTGTGCACATACACAACCAAAAACATTCACACTGGAAACCGACATCTGAGTGATGGTAAAAAGGGAAGTGCAACGTGATGGTTCAATCTAATTCAAAAACCAGATGGCCTTTTTCTGGTAGCTTCTCTGACTCCTTTCTGAAACCAGGGAAGCGACCAGCAGGAGATGGTAGGATGGGGTTCCCCAGCCAATTAGTATATCTATTGGCTAGTCCAGCTCCTTTCCAAAACTAAATCTCCCGGGAACTGACCTGCAGGGAACAGTAGTTTGGGTGTTTCTCAGCCTAATAGTATATCTAATCATTTTGTCTGCAGTAAGACGAGGTCTTCTTACCACCACATGTGTGAGGACTTATGTTGGCTGGTCCAGCTCTTTTCCAACACCAAACCTCCTGGGAACCAACTTCCAGGAGATGGTAGAATGTGGTTCTCCAGCTGAAGGGGTGAATTGCATTTTTACGGATCATCTTCAGTCCATGACCAGATGGAATAGGGTATTTCTCATCCAATCCACAGTTGGAGGAAGGCTTGACACCATCCATACTGCCAAAACCCCGACACCCTACTCTCAACTGAGTGGGATAGTGCACATTCAGGAGGAAGCCTTCATGGTCTATAAACCCAGTGCCTAGGAACTGGTAAGTGAAAGGGAGTCCTGTACTCCTTTTGTAGAAGGGGAAAGAATGGTGGAGAATCCAGGGGAACACTATGCTGGAAACTGTGCAATAACCTTATTTTGAAAAGCAAGCTTCTCCTGATTTATACCATCTAAGGAATGTAGAGATGAGCAGCGATCTCCTTCTACTTTACTCATGATAGTCCATGAGTCAGCACAGTCTGGTATGGGCATACTTATGACACAACATACTGCAAGGTGAACTTACTAGCAATCTTGTGGAACACTCCATAACTACAGTGGGTTTTATAGGCCTTATTGTTATGGTTATGCTAGCTGGTCCAGCTCTTTTCCTATGGTAAGATAGGGTTCCCCAACCAACAAAATATATCTCAACTGGTCTAGCTCCATTCCACCTCAGATCTCCCGGGAATCAACCTGCAAGAAATGGTATAACGATTAGTATTATGTGAAAGGCCATACAGTGCAGATTTGTTTGTTGGTCTAGCTCCTTTCCAAAATCAGCTCTCCTGGGAACCAGTTCTACAGGAGATGGTAGGATGGGGGTTCACCCAGCCAATAAGTATACCTGGATGGGTACCACTTGCCACAATACAATAGAAAAGAGGGGTGTAATCCTATTAAGGAAAAGAAAGAAAAAAGAAACTAACCAAGTCACAGTTGAATTGTTGTGTGCAGTATGGCTACAGGTGTGATGTGATGTCTGGATGAGGAAAAAACAGTTACATTATGGAGGTAATGGGAAATAAAGGTATTGGGTAAGGTTCACATGCCAGCCTGGATTATTTCTTATATGGAACAAAGTAGATGAACAGCCAGGGAAAAGGTACAATACCAAATCTGATGATATAAACCTGGAAAACTGTTGGAATTTGGGAGATGAGGATAAGTCAACCTGTGAGGGAAGTGAGTGAAATATCTCTCTCTGAGGGGAAGGATTCCAATGGATAAATAAATGGGAAAGGGAACTACAGCAGGAAGCCATGCAGGCAAGATAACATCTGAGAGCATGCACAGGACATACAAGTCTATCCAGATCAGAATAGGAATATAAATGGAAAATGGAAGGTAGGGAAATTAGTGTAAACCAGACGTTGTGTTCATGAGCTGCTGAAATTTTAAGTAGAAAACTTTGATCTGGATACGGGAGAACATGGGTGCAGTGATAAATAATACATGATATATCGATGGCAGAAACATCTGACCTTTGACAACCACAGGCAAATAGGAGCAGGGAATAGGTTTTGAGGGATAAATGGTATAGGGAAAAGGTAGCCAAGGATTGGAATGGGAACTGGGTAAGGGCATGGAGAACAACTTTACAATTACAATTTGGGAGAAACATAGGACAAGGAGTGTGAAGGGTCCAGAAAGAATGCAACAAAATGGAAATTGTAGGAGAGGAAAACATCCTGCAGTAATGGGAAAAACAGAAGGTACTGGACAAGGCTGTTCAGTACTCAGGAATAGCAGAAATAGAAGAACCACTCTCAAACAGCTAGGTAAAATATTCGGGGACATGAGGAATATTTGGACAGAAAGGAAGGTATTCATGATGCAGAGACCAATACCAAAAACACACCATATTTTCTGATATACTATGAGTGAAGAAGGGCCCAGAGTATGAGGTTTAACGGTCGAAAACAAAGCAAATGTGAACAGATACCATCTTGTCGAGTGATGTATGAAACAATAGTCAAACTATTGGAATGGATCATGACCACTTTGTCACATACTAAGGGTAGGAATTAGTCCAAAGCCCAACAGATGGCCAAAATCTCTAAGATGTTGATGTTTATTGGCATCTCAACTGAAGACCAGCGACCAGAGATTTCATAAGAATCCATACTTGCTCCCCAACCCATAAGAGAAGCATCTGTGGAGGTGGAAGAGAAATGCCTGCCATGGTGTTGTTTCTGTTCAGCTATTATGTAAAATCGACTTGCAGTGAGAGAGGGAGACAGATAATGGAGTACAAGAGATCCCAAGCAAAGTTACATTGATCATGCAACACCCACTGAAGACTGCACATGTGAGCACGACCTGAAAAGAAAAAGAACCTCACATGCAGACAGTGTATGAGAGGATTGGGCTTTGAGTAAATGAAGAGGAGATGGTTATCCCAGACTGAGAAAGGAGTTAAAAATACTTTCAGGTGGACAAGGTATTGCATTGGGAAAAGGAAGGGCTTCTCCAGCTTGATGTGCCATCCCACATGAGTTGCTTCTCGAAGAAGCAACTGAGTGTGTTGATTATCAACGTGTTGGGATAGAGCTAATAACAGCCAGTCATCCAAGTAAGGATGAAAGTGTAAACCTTGTGCACAAAGTAGTCGAACAAAGACTCTGACCACCTGCCATAAAATGTAGGGTGCAAATGCCAGATCGAAAGATAACAAGCAGAACTGCTAAAGACAATTCCTGTGTACAACACAAAGTTATCATGAGGAAATAGAAATGTGCAAGTAAGCATCCAAGACATCAACATGAGTGATCTACATACCTGAAGTAAATGCCCACCACAGTATGAGGAATGATTTCATTTTGAAAAAGAATAGGTTGAACCAGTTGAAACATGATAGGTTGATCACTGGACACCAGTCCCCTAAATGTTTTGGAACTACAAACAACCTGGAGTAAAACCCTGGAGAAGGAAGACTGACGGGTTCTATAACATCATTGAAAAGGAGTGCCTGTGCCACTGGCATGATGTAGGTTCTAAAGAGGATGGAAGGATATTGGGGCCTGTGGACAAAGGAGGAGGGTTGGGGAATTGAAGGAACAAACCTTTTGACAATACCCAAATCACTGATGGATTGAGATGAAATCGTGCCATAAGTGCAATAATCTGACCAAGTATGCTCCTACCTTGTTAGAACCCACGAGATAGTCACCGGTACCATTGGCGACATGGGTTTCAGCAGTTAACAATCTGATGACTCGCTGCTGAAACAAACACAGGTAAAAGGAATGGATAAAGAGGCAGAAGGAGGAGGACAGGAAACGGGAATAAGAGCAGGTGAAGGCTGTGACAGTTGAGAGACCGAGGAAGAGATGGAGGAGTGATGATGAGCAGTCTCCACCCATGAATCTAATGATTTGGGTAGATCTCCAAAAGTTGACCTACATAAAAAACGTAGTTCTCGTAGGTAGGTCATGGGTAGGCACACAATAGTTATCAGAGCATCCCTATTCATGAGATTCAAACAAAAGAGGAGCCATGTTTATAGGGAAAGGGCCAAGGAGGATAAACATGCCAACATGGAGAAAATAAGGTTAAAAGTATCCTCCAAAAACCCTACGGGGGATCAGTAGATACAGACAAAAGGTAACACACCTGTGACACCATACCCTGGAAGCATCCACAGGAGAAAAAACGGGACTACACGGCATAGAAAGAAGGAAGAAGGCTCTATAGATCTTTGTTATCCTACCCTGACTCCACAGGAAAGGAATGTCCTGTTTGAGTTCTGGAGAAGCTGTCGGCCACATAATGGAATCAATCTCCCTTCCTGACTAAGGCTGAAGCCTCCTAAGCCGAAAATGTGGAAACTGAGTCACAGGAGTTGTTGTACAAGTATTCACTAACATGGTCAAAGTGATTTGAATTTTTGAGTTCATATTCAACTGTGGGTACCTTCCCAAGTAGGAAAAAAAGTTACTTTCTTTGTTTGTTTAACTGATATTAAATGAACTGAAAGTAACAAATCTACTAAGGAGAAAAAAATCGATTAATCAACACAAATAAAAACATTCACTAAAACCCTATTTAACATGAACAAACTTTTGCAAACGTCTGATTTCCACTGTATCAAATTAAGAAGTGAAGATTGGGTTCTACAGTAAAGAGGGAGCCAGCTGCGAAAGGAGGGTGTGTCACTCTCCTATTGGAGGAGGGTTGTTATATGTTTATTTACATGCTACAATATAGTTTAACCACACTGAAACATGGGGTAGGTGGGAGTTTCAACGCTAATGGCAAGTAAACAAATTTACGCAAAAGTTATGTGAACAGACATAAGATATCGTACTGGTACACCATTTATCACTTTTAATATGAGTTAATTATTTAGATTTAATTTAATCTAAAACTGCTGATGCGAATTTGGATTTCCTTATCCTATACAGAGATGTAAACATTCACATTCTACTGTCACCCAAAACCTGGTTTAAGTAAGATTGTTAGAGGCAGGTGAAAAAAAGATACAATATTAATTGTAACCATTAAATTAACATAAATTTTCATATTTATAAATTTTACTTAAAATATTAGTGTCATGTCGCAAACAGTTATAGGGTTGAGTGAAAAGTCAACATTACTGTAAATGTTTCTTAACTAAAGCTATGAAACCAAGAAACAGTGTATAATTACCATAAACCAAACTTTTAGAATTGAATGTATATGTCTTTTATAGCCCTATGGCTCAACTGTGGGCATGAAAATGCAAGCTTCTCATATAGAAAGACAATTACACTCTGCATCAAAGAGCCAGAGTGGAATTGACAGTGTTTAAGATAAACAGGTAGTATTTTTTTTTTAAATCTCTGTTGTATATGATGTGGAATGCCAGCATCTACACATAATACCTGAATAATACAGATAGCTTATCACAGGTTAACATGTGGTAGAATTCATACAAAACAGAACCATAAACATAATGGAAATACAGACATAACAGTAATTGATAAAACTGTTATTGTAGGATACACTAGTCTACATTAATTGTTTCCTCACGTGAGACATGAAGGTGTAGCTTCTACACAGACATAGTACAGGATAGTTTCATCTCCTGAAACTTGAAGGTGTAGCTACTACACAGGCATAGTACAGGACAGTTTCATCTCCTGAAACACAAAGGTGTAGCTTCTACACAGAAATAGTACAGGACAGTTTCATCTCCTGAAACACGAAGGTGTAGCTTCTACACAGACATAGTACAGGACAGTTTCATCTCCTGAAACACGAAGGTGTAGCTTCTACACAGACATAGTACAGGACAGTTTCATCTCTGAAACACGAAGGTGTGGCTTCTACACAGACATAGTACAGGACAGTTTCATCACCTGAAACATGAAGGTGTAGCTTCTACACAGACATAGTACAGGACAGTTTCATCTCCTGAAACATGAAGGTGTAACTTCTACACAGACATAGTACAGGACAGTTTCATCTCCTGAAACACAAAGGTGTAGCTTCTACACAGACATAGTACGGGACAGTTTCATCTACACTTGAGTATTTGTGCTCCAGCCATTTCACTCTGACGGTACTGACCACACATTACACCTACCACTTCTCTAGAGTACATGAATAGTCTGCAACTACAAATTACAGCTGCCACTTAACCATAGATGCAGTACAGGTATCTATTCTGCACAACTGTTTGTACTCCAGCCTCTTCCTGACAGTACCAACCAGGCCTGCTAATCTTGATAAACCTCAATCAAACATGTAGTTCTTGGAAAGCTTAAGAGTAGTCAATTATTAACTAGTTTGGGATTGTGACCAAAAATAATATTAACAGTGAGGGTACCAAACTAACAAAATAATTAATTCTAACACTTATAAGTAAGAGTGTAAGAAAAGTATATTTAATTAGCTATCTATACACATTACCAGCTTAAGTAGGTTGCTCTAATTGGAAATTAATATTAACAGTTAATTAATAAGGATTTTACTTCATAGAGTTTCTCACAATCACAATCTTCCTGATCATTAACTCACTGCTTTAATATTTGTTTTTCAAAACTTGAACTATTTATACAGTTTTTATTTGCAAATAATGAATAACTCAGAATACATACTGCAAAATATTTTATGTATGATTACAAGACATTAAGCTTAAATAATGGTTTATATACATTCATGTTTATCAGAAACAACTTTTAAATAGATTTCACAACAAGATAAGGCAATCAGTTAAGATTGGTCATTTACACTACATGATTAACAGATTTAAATCTATGTATTAAAAGCACCCTTCTAACATGTGAGAGAAATTTTTATATACCTTTCCTGGCTATGCATAGTTACTACAGTATCTTTTATCTACACAGTAACCAAGCACTGTGATCCACAGTAATACAGTGAAAACCACTACTCCCTTAACATATGCTTTTGTTATACATCTTATACAACACCTTATACATCTATCTGCAGTCACAATAATATTGGGTAAAAGTATCTATCATCTGTGTACTTCATCTCAGTTCTTCCTACAATAAAATAGTTAAATTGATTGTTAAACAAACTTGCTTCCCAAAACAGAGCATGCACTTTTATGCTCCAGGACAGTGACTTGAACACTGTCCCTCTTGAGGAATAAAGTAGGAAGCAGTCCATTTTAAATTTTAACCCTACAGTAGAGAAGCTGCCTAAAATATCAATGAGGCAACAAAGTTATAAATAAATGAGTTATCTTTGCTCTCCAGGTTACAGTTTTTGTATTACTATCCTTGATGAAGCTGGAATGGTGAAATGCAGATTGAAATTAAATTTGTTTTTAATTATCTTGAGAGTAAAAGTAGTTTTTTCTAACTATTATAAAAATGTCTAGATCTTTCTAGTATGCACTACAGATTCTCGAAAACAACAAAACAATGCCCTTTCATGATAAGTAACTACAACATTGTATGATTAATGTATGGACCAAGATGAATTTGTTGGTTATCTATCCTTTTCACAAGTAATTTTGTGGTATTAGTGTAGAAAATTTCTAGACTAATATGAATACATTTTATGATTAAATGAAAATAAGTAGAGAGAGCAAAAAATTACATTTGACTGAAAGGTTCAAAATGATGTACTTAAATTTTACATTTTAGAAACAGCTTTCTATACCTCCTGGTGTGGAAGAAGTCTGACCAACACAGTCACTAAAGGTATAATGGGATTATTATTCATGTGAGTGTATTCGAGGCTTCTGAGACCAGCTGGAGGATTTGGAAGGCCGTGTCTAAGTCGAATCTGATGACCACCCACCCGCAACTGCAATGGCTGTAAATAGTCACATTTTGTTAGAAAACTAAAATAAATTTGCTGTTATAAAAAAAGAGCTTTAAGTTTATCACTCTTTAAAAGCACATCTGTTTCATAGAAAAACTAAAAACATTTGCCATGAAAATTTATTATTTAAAAACCTGTTCATATACAACCTCTCAAAACTTGACTTAATTCACTAAATCTAATTAACTAATAACCCAAATTAAAAAATCTAAGACAACCAAACCAACCAATAATTCAACTTGATCAAATTCCACTAAACCTAGCCAACTACTAACCTAAAAACAACCAATTAATAGCCAATTAATCTTAAAATGCACAAAATATCTACTAACCATAATGCTATAAAACCTAACAACCTAATAACTCAAGCTAATTCCACAGAACCTAAACAACTAATAACCAAACTTAGCCCAATCAAAAACAAGCTAACCAACTAATAACCCAACTTAACCAACTAACAGCTTAAATCAATCTAATTCCACACAACTTAACCAACTAATAATAAAACATACCATACTCAAAAACAACTTAATCAACTAATAACCAAAATTACCTAAACCCATCTAATGTAACCATCTCATAACCCAACTTAAAACTTACACCAATGTGAGATATGTAAATATATTATGCTTTATACAATTAAGATGTTAGACATATATTTTAAACTTATCACACACAACCTAACATTCTGGTGATAATAATGATCAAATATAAATGGATGGTTAGATGAATATCTTGAATGCTTCTAAACACTTATACTACCATACGTATGCAGACAATGTTTTTGACATCTTTAAACATCTTGAATAAAACTCCCAGTTGTGACTATTTTAAGAAGAAACATAACAAAAATGATTTTACTGTACAACATCAACAACAAAATCACCTATTTTTGGACATTTGATATCATAACAGTAAACAAACTGTAAAGTTTACAATTAGAAAACAGTAAATGGACATAAAACTTTTAAAGTTTTATGCTGATAAGAGTCTAATTAAGATCTTAATACATCATGCTTTTAAAACTTAAGTACTTATGAACTTCTAGATTTTCTTGAAGAAAAATAACTTCTCATAAGAAAAACAATGTTAAGACATTATTTTTTAAAACAAATATAATTTAACAAAAGACAAAAATACTAAATAAGACATGTAAAAAAAATCTCTTTTTTGCTGTACTGTCTTATAGTGAAAAAGAGCTAATATGAATTTTCAAACCAGGATGTCATTTTAAGCATTTTTTTCAAGTAAGCAGTATTGCCACTGTTACATCTCCGTTTGTTAATTAACTTTCCGTAACTTCGTTCCGAAGAAATTTTAGCAACACAAGTTCTTTACTTAATAAAACTGGTTTATTCTTTCCAAATACAACTTTACCGATACACTCAACTTCAACAATCGCGCTAAACAAACGGTATAACAACGAACGTGCTCAATAATACTTCTGACTGCAGATCAATTACTCACTGGCTACACAGACATTACCTCTCCGCGTCACGTTGTCCCCTCTTATATATACCCGCCTACCCCATCTAGCAAACACTAGAGCTGGACTTAACGTAGGATTCAAATTCGAGAGCTCTGGCCATTGCATCCTGCATGGAAGAGGGGTGTGCTTGCTTCACTTGAATCTTAAG